ATCTGAGAATGTCAATATTTCATCATTTTACACTTTCATATTCATTTAATTGAAATTCATATTTAAAGACAATTATTTTCAGTCTGTAATGCCAATGCTGTCTGTTAGCATACCAAATATTTTAGATTTACATTCTGGCAGCAAAATGTCCCTATGTAGCAAGTTGGTACTCCAACTAAATCTTTGGCTCATTGTTTGTGTCATTGTTTGCAAAAACAACAGGAAATGCCCCCTACAATGACAAATCCAAAACGCACAGCTTAAAACATAACAGCAGTTTTACAAAAAAAATAAAAAAAAAGTTATTTGGATTATCAGCAGCAAAGGTCATTTTGCTCTCTGCAAAATAGATGTTTTGTTACTGCCAACAAGAGTATACTGGTACAATGTGTCATTGCCAAATAAAGCTACTAATTCTATGAAAAATAAAAATCTACTACATAAGGAGGCATGTTATCATGCCTCGTCTTCTCTTTTTGGAAAAGACTGTTGCCAAATGGTCTGATCCATAAACTCTTTAAAATTAACTAACTACTTTTGACAGTATACGGTCTAAGTGACAGAATCAGAGCCAGTAGAGGTCTACATGTTCCTCTCCATAAGAAATAACATTATAATACAACAACAAATAGCTGACCAAATTAATTTTAATATCACTAGGAATCCACATCATGATTAAAACAAGAAAACGTAAGTGTGGGACAATCAAGCACAATCAAATCACATCAAAATAAACAACAACAATGACAGAAGACATTCAAATGTCTTCACATATTGTCTCAATGCAGGACAAACAATCTCACAGCATCACCTATGTAGCAGCTAAACACACACCAACTTTAAACAACCTTTCTACTAAATCACAGTGAAACTAAAAGAAACAGGCCGTGGTCGATTGTTTGCATCAAAATCTGTTGCTGTGTAAACAGAGACAGCATTTTTGGACGTCACATACTCGATTCAAAGGTTCAAACGTGTCTATGATGCCCAAAATTCACACTTGGTTGTCAGATATCCAGGTCATGATGAGACTGAGCAGTTGTCTGTTTTTATAAATGGTTTACATAAGTCCTAACTGTCAAAGTACCGAATCTCCAGGCTGTTAGCAGCCTACGCACCACCCACATGCTGCTTCACACTTATGGCCGACTCCTCTGACGCTCCATGGACCATTTAATCGCTTCATTTAAACGTTAAAACAACAATTAGCAATATTAATATCTTAATTCAGATGGAAGAGAGCTAATTTCACACGAGCAGGCAGACAGATGTGCGGTTTAGCTGGCAGCTAGCTGGATCCATCACAACAATAACACTGTTCGTTTAACCGGACTCAAAACTGCTCATAAAGCGCGTTTAAATCAAATACGGAACGGCGCTTCGTTCAAAGGTCAATCGCAGGAACAGGTCGGACGCAAAACATTGCCGAACAGGTCTTGTATAAAGGCTGTATTGAACGTAATTTGCGGGTTACACTTTACCTTCAATTCCGCACTCTCCGCCATCTTGTTTCTCTGGCGCAACTCAACTTCACTAAAAGAAAAGATAAATGCTGTTGTCAAAAATGTTGTGTAACACAAAAATCCAACAGTTTTTGTACAAACAAAAATTGAAAACATACCTTGATAAGTGGGGCCCTGGAGGAACATCTCTTCAGCCTCCTGCCAAGACAAGCCCTGCAGCTCGCAAAGGCCATGAATGATGGCCTGTACAAATAAACCAATTAATAAAATAAAACATGCACACACTGCAAATATTACCTTCATGCTGGACCGATCTATTGAAATGTGCCTGCAGATGCGTTTGCACTTTTGCCAACCGTGTTGGTTGGAAAACTGAAGCATCACAAAATGGACAGTGGAAATGACTGCAGCATTTGATGCACTGTATTAGTTCTGGCAGAGACCCCCCTTTTTGAATTGTTAATATCCATCTGGGAAAAAATACACGGCATCGACAAGATCTCCTGTAACCAGATTAGATTTATCAATGTATACCATTCATAAATTTGTTGTTGAATTGATTAAACAAAAAGTTAACGGTACATTCTTTCCAGATAATCGGATCCAATTTGCATTCAGTTTTATTAGTGGACCAGTGATGGGAAGTCCGAGTCATTTCCACAAATCGGTTCTTTGGAACGGATCGATACAAAAAACAGGAATTTAAAAAATAAAAGTTTGGGGATGATGACATGTTGTAATTTTGTAACCACGTGCAGTTTTTTTTTTTTACAACCATGATCCATCTTTGAAAATCAAAACCAAATATAATTTGCATTTACATTCAACAATGCTAACATCCTTTACATCGTTTGGCTGGTTTTGATAAATAAAAATAAAATACGGATATGAGTTGACAGCTGGGGCCCGTTCTTCGTACGTCGCTTATGATCCTCAAATCTGGCCCACGAGATCCACTTTCCTGCAGAGTTTAGCTCTAACCCTAATCAAACACACCTGAGCATGCTAATCAATGTGTTCGGGATCATTAGAAAATCACAGGTAAGTGACTTTGATCAGGGTTGGAGCTAAACTCTGCAGCGCATTGGCCCTCTAGGGCAAGATTTGAGGAACCCTGTAATAGATAAATTAAATTTGCACTTTTTTTTATTTTATTTTAATTCTTTACATGATTCCCAATTAGGCTATTTATATTCACGATTTCTAATATTTGTACAGGCTTTACATTTTTATTTCAATGTAGTAATTAGCAATTCATTTAATTTTATATTTGAACAGATTTGTTACGTGACAGCATTAATTAAAGTTCCTTAAGGGTCAAGATCATGTTATCTGCATCTCCTGCGCTCCATCAAACCACTCCCATAATACCTGTCATCACTCAAATGAATGCACGACTCTACATTATCTGTATAGCATGTGTGTAAGACTCGAATACAATTATGAAGTAATAATTTTATGACGAATAAATCTTTCAGTGTGTAAAACTGGCTGTGTCTATAAAGACTACACAACATTATTATATTATCTTTAAATTAATTTTTAAATGATTATTATTTTAAATTATTGTCCCTGGATTAGTAGGGTACTCTTGTAATAAAGTAGCGGTGATAGAGGACAGATTTTAAGTATCAATTCTGCTTAAAAAGATGCGATCTAATCCTGTTTACATGAAATAAGCCTGCTCCCGAGCAGGTTTAAGTTTATGGACCTATTGCTATGATGACAGCAACTCCAGGATGAGCTTCGAAGAACCAACCAATCCAAGATCAGGCCAAATCATCAACAATCAAATCCAGCTAACGTTAACTGAGTTAGCGACGTACGAAGAACGGGCCCCCGACCTCTAATAAAATCGTAAACATCTAGTAAGTTTTATTTGTAACATTTCTGCTGTTTGGCTATTTGCTAGGCTTTTTATCCCATCAGCCTAAACACACAAATAAATAAATGAATACATTTCTAGTCCATATGGTCATAATGATACAGTTATTTTCATGGAAATATGCACAGGTACATTCAAACTAAGATTTTGATATCAATGTCATGTTGTTCTTTGGGACTTACACAGATGCAAATGTAGTTCATTGTTATGGAAATTGATGAAATGAAGACCAACTCTCAAACAGGATCATTTAATCCACATTTCAGTAGTTAGGGCTGCCAATTTAAAGTGCTTTACATCAATATTATACAAATATGCAGATGAGAGTAAACAACCAACATGGACATGGAATAAATAAAATATACAAAAACATTCATTAGTGTTGCATCTAATTTAACAAAATGTCCTAACCTATCACTATCAAAAAGGGTATGACAGGATACATAACAAATATATGCATTGCACATAGCCACTTAATACCAGTGATTTCTACAGCTGATGATAATATTTTTAAGTGGGATGTCAATTTTTTTATAATGCAATTTTCTAGAACTTTATATAAATTATACAGTACATACAGTGACTCTGAAAACACTCTTTTGCAAATGAAAATGACTTCATTACAGTGTAAGAGCTAAAATACTACAGTACACACTTGCTTATTCCAGGTCTAAAGGTTGACAGTGTTTTGCAGAGGGAAAAAAGTAAAGTTTTATTTGACACAGCAGTATTTCTAAAGCACACTTGTCTTCAATAGGTGTCCATATATAAGCATTAAAAAGCATACAATTATGAGAACTGAAAAACTATGTCTGCTTTACAATACTTCATTATTTTCAATATATAAAAATCAATATATGAAGTACAGCATAAGAGTATCGCAATCATCTTTCAGACGCTAAATATAAGCTCAAAAGACATAATAAATGGAAAAAATAGATTATTGATTATATAATAATAATTGTTAGTAAATATATTCAGCTCATCAATAAACCAAAAAAGATTGTCTAATAAAGGGATGAGGATCATACATCCGCCCCGTCAATGTGTATATGCTACACTACAGTAAATACAAGATAAAGCAAACTACAGTGGGAACTTTCTTCGACACCCTGATTTTAAGACTATATATTTTAACAAACTTCTTGGATTTCTGCAATGATCAAAATGATACAGTCATAATGATACAGTTATTTTCATGGAAATATGCACAGGTACATTCAAACTAAGATTTTGATATCAATGTCATGTTGTTCTTTGGGACTTACACAGATGCAAATGTAGTTCATTGTTATGGAAATTGATGAAATGAAGACCAACTCTCAAACAGGATCATTTAATCCACATTTCAGTAGTTAGGGCTGCCAATTTAAAGTGCTTTACATCAATATTATACAAATATGCAGATGAGAGTAAACAACCAACATGGACATGGAATAAATAAAATATACAAAAACATTCATTAGTGTTGCATCTAATTTAACAAAATGTCCTAACCTATCACTATCAAAAAGGGTATGACAGGATACATAACAAATATATGCATTGCACATAGCCACTTAATACCAGTGATTTCTACAGCTGATGATAATATTTTTAAGTGGGATGTCAATTTTTTTATAATGCAATTTTCTAGAACTTTATATAAATTATACAGTACATACAGTGACTCTGAAAACACTCTTTTGCAAATGAAAATGACTTCATTACAGTGTAAGAGCTAAAATACTACAGTACACACTTGCTTATTCCAGGTCTAAAGGTTGACAGTGTTTTGCAGAGGGAAAAAAGAAAAGTTTTATTTGACACAGCAGTATTTCTAAAGCACACTTATGTCTTCAATAGGTGTCCATCAAGGCGGTAGAAGAGGAGGTTTGAAGGTGCAGGTCCCAGCGCAGTGACGGGGAGTCAGCATCTTACACGAGAAATGGTGTAGTGCGTCGTGAGCTTCTGGGAAAAAAGTGAATGAATAATTTAAAACAAAAGCGGCACATGATTGTCTGTGTTGGTATGTGTATAGAGAGAAACAGAGTGTGAGAAACAATGTGTTCTAGGACAATAACTGCTATAATAAACTGCGGTGTGGCTCAAGTCTGCTTCTAAAATAATATATAAACTGTCTACAAATGAACATCTAGCTGGCATGGGTTATCAAAATTATTCAAGGTCACACTTTTGAATACTGTCATACTGTGCCTTCCAAGGATTTTTTTCAAGTCCTTTAGTTATCCTGAACGCTATTATTTGCTTGCCTTTGCTAGAATCAATTACCTTTTAACTTCTGCTGAATAGCATAACCTGTCTCTCTCTCATGGTCCAACTCGCTTCACAAAGTGTCTGCTCAGGAGAGACAAAGGATATCTCAGGTGTGGAAAACTAATTTTTCCCCTCATCCAAACTGGTTCAGTTTTGTGCATGGGATTTTTTAGGCATTCAAGTGTACGTGTTTCAGAAGTTGATAAAAACCATCAGATCCCTGTCTATGCTTGTCCCTTACTGCAGTAATGCAAATGCATAAACCTAATGCTTAGTAGCACATAAAACAGTCATAAGGACTGAACAAACTCCAGAAAGGACCACAAAAAGTCCTAAAAGGATGTGATCAGTTCTGATTAGTGTATTGTTGTTCTATTAAATAGAAAGCCAGAACTTGTCATGTGAAGTCAAACGCTTACCTCGAACAATCTGGAGTTGCTGCACCATTTCCTCTCTGTATGAGAGCTCTCTTTTCATTTGGTCTTGAAAACTGTCTAAGAAAAAAATGTGAAGTAAATTAAATATCAAAGCACATTTGTGTTTATCACTATATAAGAAAAGAAACAATTATATAGTGCTTTGCAAAAATATTCAGACCCTAATTAATTCTTTCGACTGCTTTTAAGTTTAAAGCACTGAAACTTAAAATGATTTGTTTGTTATGTATATGTTTATGTCTAAAAATGAACACAGACCATTTACAATACATCTTAAAATTGTGTACAGTCAAATGTTGTCGTTGTAAGAATCCGTTTTCATCAGCCTCTCCAAAAATATTCAGACCCTAATTAATTCTTTCGACTGCTTTTAAGTTTAAAGCACTGAAACTTAAAATGATTTGTTTGTTATGTATATGTTTGTCTAAAAATGAACACAGACCATTTACAATACATCTTAAAATTGTGTACAGTCAAATGTTGTCATTGTAAGAATCCGTTTTCATCAGCCTCTCCAATATTCGTTTTTCCTGTGTTTAAATCATTGTCATGCTAAACTTTATCACGTGTTTCAGTATTTTGTTTCTGTTGCAGTAGTTCACTATTTTCTGTAAAATTAATTCTCAATTTAAAAAAGATGAAAAACCATGCAATTGTATCTATTCATCGGGAGCATAACATTCAACCAAATGACCGCTAAATCTTTTCACTTATGAATGTTGGCAGATTTTTTATGTGGTGCCCCTGTTATGCAAAACTCATCTAAATCTATTGAGCCCTGTTGATTGTTGGACTCTTTGTTCTATCTCCGTTTACACATGACAATATATTTTTTTAATTGTAATTTTTAATGCAGCTATTAGTATTTCATTTTAAATGACCAACTATTAATCAGCATTTTACAGGCAGAGGCAATTAGTAATGCATTTGTATCCATTTTCATAAACTTGATTATATTAAAACAGTATTTTTTTATTGTTTTCCAAGTTTCAGTTCTTATAAATCAAAATATCAAAATATCTAAGTATTTAAATTTAGAATGACTTAAATTCAAGCTATTGTAAGTTTGTAACAACCTATAAATAAACATTAGAGAATTAGTTAAGGATCTGATATTTTTGTATATGTTTAGTAAAGTGTAAATAATACATTACATTTTTTTTAACATAACCTACCTTTTAGATTCTGGAATTCACGCTCCAACTTTTTTCTAAGCTCAACTTGTTCCACGAGTTGTTTCTGCAATTCCTCTGTTAAAATAAAAGCAGCAGCTCATGCAAATGTTTTAAAATGACTTTAAATTACAAAATGATTAATGGTTTTATTACCAAAATAAACAAAATTGTTATGCTATTGCTAAAACCCCCATGGAAACCATAATTTCTTTAAAAAAAAAAAAATTTCAACTAATTTTCTTTTCAGCTCTTCTAAATGCAGCACATATTGTTTTGCTTACCTTTGGCCATGCTCTCTATGTTTTTCTCAATTAAGGAGACCCTGCTGCCAGTGTCCTTGCGCACTGATTCCTCGTCTGCACACACAACAAATACATATGAAGCAAATCAACAGACTAGTGTTGAATATTAGGAGGTCCAGTTAACGATACGCACCTTCATTTGGTTCCTTCAGGCGCTCCTCATTGATGTTGGTTTGATCCTGATGATTTTTGGGTTCCATCTCTTCCACCGTAGATGAAGGTTCTTCTTCGTGCACGTCTTTAACTATAAGCATATATATTTATGTTAAGATAGACTTTGTTTTCTAAAAAATTAAGAAAGAAAAATCCACATGAAAACAGGCCTACCACTCGGTTCGCGTTGGTAAGTGGTCTTTGAACCAAAATAAGATGTGCTCATTTGATGCACGTGCTCGTCTCGTTCACCTGAATAGACCTGTAAAATTGAGAAGACAATTATTCGCAATTATCCAATTTTGCATTTTCTATTTGAATGCGAGTGGAACGTCCGCTATGTTGATCTAATTACATTTTCAAAGAACTAAGATTATGAAGAGCCATATCCACTTACAATAAATTTCCTGAATTAATCAGTAGCCTAAGTTTAAAATGCAGCGCGACAATTATCCCCATAATCTGGATGCATTCAGCTTACTTGCTCATTTTAAAACATTAACAATAATTAGCCGAATTATATAAATTAGATTAGAATAAGACGCACTTAATAAAATTTGTTATAAATCGAAAAGATTTACTTATAGTTGAATGGAAAAAAAAACATTAATAATATTTTTATTTTTAAATTTAAAAAAGACATTTCCTTAATTCTACTTTTCTGACGGCTTTTATATAACGGGCAACTTTTTAAAGATATTTATATTTTAAAATAATAGAGAATAAATACAATGTTTAAAAGAAATATAATAATGAATAATTTCATAAAAAATCAAGCCGTTTAATAGGCTACCCAACCCTGCTTTTTAAAATAATGAGAAAAGAATCTTAGCTATTAATACAAAATCGCAGGAATTACGCATGGTTCTGTATTTAGTTACTCACTTCAAAGCGCGTCGTGTGTTTATTGCCGTGACTCTCCAAATCAGACGACCGCGTTTCACTTGAATTCGTCGTGTGTAGATCACTCACGGTGTGCATTTGGCTATTGTCCTGGTCTTGATCTTTTACCCCGTCACTTTGCGCTACGGTCAAACCGTGAGGACTCCGCCGGTCATCCACAGTCAGCTGCAAACACTCCTCGTCCTCGTGCACTTTATGTGACTCCACATCCACATCCGGATCGTCCACGCTGTCCACGTCCGGAGACACTGATCTATAACTAGAACTTTCACTCAAGAAATCTGGTGACATATAACCAGATCGAGGACCAGAATACGGACCCCTGTTTCCGTATAGCTTTGCGATGCTCTCAACATCTTTAACAACCGGCCTGAATGCAGATATGTAGCTTATTTTTCTTGGGGTGGCTGGCATCCCTTCTATAGACCTGCTCTCATCCCCAGATTTATCCTCCTCGTTTCTGGTGGACTGAGTGCTGGAACACCGTTCGTTATCAAGTAGACTGTCTTTAGGGGTGCTCGTGCTTCGGTCACTTTGCTCTGACACGTCTAGCTCACTATGTCTAGTGCACAACACGTCAGGTGGAGGTTTAGGCTGGGCATGGTGGTATGTTGGCATGGCCAAACTGCCTGTTGCAGGCCAAAACATCGGAAAGGAGGGATAGGCACTGTCCTTCGCGCTCGGCCAGAACACACCTGATAGGTTTGTTTTGTTTGGCTCTCCCATCACCACACCGTCATCCTTCTTCTGACACAATCCAAACGCCGGGAATCCGTATGGATGTGGAAAGAGCGGTGGTGGAATTTTCTGCAACATCCCAAAACTCTTACTGGGCACCGGAATAACGGGGTAACTGCGTATGCTGCTCGGCATCGTCACGTTCCCCCTGTCATCCTCACATCGGAGCGTTTTGTGGGGCACCTCAGACGGTTCCCTCTGGGTCTGACCTCTCGGTACTTGCGTACTAAGCGAGGACGAACGATCAGACCCACCGATTGGCAGCGTCCTCTTGCGGCTGCCACCGTTAAACATGGCTTTGACGTCTTCCCAGGCATGGGACACGTCGTCCGGTGAGTTTTTATCGGTTAGTTTTAAGTGTCTTCTCCACGAATTGAAGTTTGCTGCGTCGGGTTGCGTGTATTTGGACTCCGGCGTGCGATGAGAGTGAAAGATGAACTTGTTTGGAGAAAAATACAAGTTGCAGAACGAACACTTAATGCACTTCGCTCTCGAGCTGTTGTATCTGGCCGGGATGAAATTGCCCCGGCTGCCCCACGCGCATTCGTGCGACACGTCAAAAGCGAAATTTTCTGGTAATTTCGGTGGGCTGTGGGCGCCCAGAAACGACTTGCAGAGCCTCTCGGCCTCTCGCTTTGTAATCATCCCGCAGCGTCTCGAGGAAATAGGCATAGCCCCTGCGCGCCTGAGAATCTCCAGCTGGACCGGAGTGCACTGCACACAAGTGATGCCCAGGGCCACGCGCCGGTTGTGGATTTCGTTATAGCTGTAGTTCTTCAGGAGAGTGTTGGATATTTGGGCTAGGCAAAGTCTCTCTTGACCATCTATGACTAGTGAAACGATCGGTATTCCATATAAAGAGGTCTCACTGACTTGGTTCGGCTTAAGTGTTGGCCCAGAGTAAGACTGCAAGTCTTGTTTAGAGTTCGGCGAACAGCTGGAGTCTCTTCCAGCCGGCAGCTGATTTGGGATGGATTCCATTCCTGGAAATCTGCGAAGGTGGATAGAAGGAATATTTTTAAGTACACTATTGTGTATAGCCTACTGGTTTACAGACTGAAACAAAAAACGACTAGGCTATTATTGTCTTATTTTACAGAATTGTAAAAAGATCAAATGTAATAATAATCATAATAGCCTAATGAGAAGAAGAAGAAGCAGAAAATCATATTTAATGCCTCGATGGCCACCATGGTTACATTAATCTATTTTTTAAAAATTCCGTCTAAAGATCTTTGTAAATAGGTTATAGGCTACCGAGATGGCCGTAGTGGTAGGCTATTAACTTCTGGGAAATTCATTTTAGTTTATTTACCGTTTGTTTACAATACAAGTTTACTTTTTGTGTTGAACAAAAGACAGTTTAGAAAAAGCAAACAAGTGTTGTGTCAACACTAGAGATTATAGAGGAAATGATTCCTTGAGCCTTGCCAAAGAGCTTAACAAAGGTGTAAGAAGTTTTAAGCCGCTTTAATTGTAATTACTAAAGATGTGTTTTACATCTTTGATCTGTTGATAAACCAAATGAACTATAATTAAGATTACAACTCATTTTTCTATTTTCAATTTAAGTAAAACTTAAAATGCGCATCAAGTACAACTGATTATAGCTATATCTATAGACATTTGTAAAGAGGCTATATTTAAATAGATTGCAAACATTTATAGCCCGTGTTTTAATACGCAATGAAGCTTATGTTTAAAACAAAGCAGTAGGCTATGCTTTTGGACAAATTGTGGATAAAGATACAGACAGTGTTTGGTTATTATCGCAGCTCCTCGCGATTAGGCTTCCCCCCCCGAACAGTTAAATAAACAAGAATTTACAATGCAAACATAAACAAATCTCACCTTTTTTCAGAAGAAAGCGAAGTGCCTTTTATCTGTGGAGGAAAACGCGTATTCGAAACCTTCGAGTCCTTTGGATAAATGCGCTCTATCTGTCCTCTATTAGAGCGTTCTGACGCCTTGGAACAGCGCCGATCTGATATAAAATGTCCACGAGCGCTTCCTTAGCGGTTTTCTCTCAGGCCTATTAGAGCGCGTGGACTTGCATCGTACTCGGCTCTCCCGCGACTAGTGTTGAGCTGCGCGCGGAGGATGACCACATGCTAGTGCGGACCTCAACGACACAGCCACTGAAGACATTCGACAGCGCTCAAGTGACAGCTAAACTAATGGCGAGGCACTCCCACTTAGCGCCAGCATATTTACATTAACCATTTGCCTTCGGGACCAATGGGGACGACAGTCAGTTCTGTCGTTGAGGCCTGGAGACGTTTAAAGTTCACCACGTGATCTTTAACACATGAAAGTGATTGCTTGTCTGCCAGTGTGTGCGGGGGAAGTGCGTGGCATTTAGGAAGACTTTAGATTAGCCAGCCTAGTAGTAGTAAACTTAATGCTGTATATGTAGGCTGCAAAAAGATTTGTTTAATGTGAAATACCACTTTTCGAGTTTGAACGTGGGAATTAGGCTGGTGCGTTCTGAGGAAAACGGGTATGTGTTGTTGAATGCTTTTAATAGCTACAATAAAATGTTTTCTCTATAGCATAACGGTGATTGTGTTTTGTTGCATGCTTTTTAAATCGAACCAAAACCTAATAAATACAAATACCAACAACTTTAAAATAAAAAGAAAGAAAAGGAAAGAAAAGAATGCAAAATTAAATAAAAAATCGGAGAAAGGAGGAGTCATCTGATTAAGTCTCTTGAACCAAACCTAATGTTTACAAAACGAAGAGAATAAATATAGGCCAAGTCGTTTAGGGAAACGTTTATAATGTTAAGTGTTTACAAACCAGTCAATGACCACCGTCACACTAACGAGCTCGTGCACGAATGCCAACGACTGACTGGACCACTGTGTCAAAACCTATATAAATTCACTGCACTTACCAAAGAAAAAGAAAGTAGTTAAAACAGATCATTTATTTTGTGCACAACTTACCATTTATTTTGTTTTGAAAGGGAATATTTTATGGAAATCATAAGACATAGCATAAATTAAAAGAGTGCATAAACAGAAACGGAAAAAGGGAATGGCCTCGAGCCTTTTCATCTATATTCAGTGTCTGTTTAAAAATAAACGATAGTGTTATTGAAACTGCATGGTGCCGGGGGACTTATAGGCTAAGCAATGATTTTCTCCTTGAAAGGGAATATTTTATGGAAATCATAAGACATAGCATAAATTAAAAGAGTGCATAAACAGAAACGGAAAAAGGAAAATGGCCTCGAGCCTTTTCATCTATATTCAGTGTCTGTTTAAAAATAAACTATAGTGTTATTGAAACTGCATGGTGCCGGGGGACTTAATAGGCTAAGCAATGATTTTCTCCGGGGCTATTTGGATCGGCGTGGGTTAGGGGTGTGCTGTTGCCCGCATATGTTTTAGTTCCCACCGGTTAGTTTAACTTTTAGGAGCAATCATTCTTATGAAGACTAAGCGTAATTTACAACGTTACGCCTTAAATTCAGCTTAAAAGCCGTGTCTGCATTAAATATTTCAGATACAACGCAAAATCAAGTGGATTCTATCTCGAAGGTAATATGGGATGTATAGAGCAATAATTAATGTTAATAATAAAAAGGATTACAATAAAATAGCATAAATCATTAAATTATGGCAACAAAAAAAATCGTTATTTTGCTTAAATGATGTGTGATGGACCATCATGAAAACAAAATCAAATGAAACAAACATCCTATAAATGCATTTAAAGCAATACCAGAATTTATTTCATGATTAAAGCGAAGAGTGAACTTTATCCATATTTTCTTGCTTTTATCCTCGCTAACTGTTCATGATAGTCTCCAGAATGCTTGTGATGTAAAAACGAGCGCTTTCTGCAATATTGATAGCGGAGGGAGGACCTGGGGAGGGAGTTTGGAGTAATGCGACCCAGCCCAGTGCTATTGACTTTCACAGGCAAGAGACGTTCTTTCTCGCCAACAATAATTACCATTTTGGACTGTAATTATTAACTTCTTTTAAATTATTCAGGGACCGAGCTGAATGCCATATTGTTATCCATTATTTCTTTGACTTACCCATCATGGTTGGATTCGGGGCAGGTACGGGAATCCGACACCTCACACGATATTTAATTTAGCCCCTTTGTTGATCCTTAAGAAATTAGAGACCCCATTCTAGAACAAAGAACACTCAACGATGTGACAATATACCTTGGTTGTTATACTGATTATAATAATAATAATAATAGGCTAATAATAATAATGGGCTAATAATAATAATAATAATACAAAAATAATGAACAATAACAATTAACGACAACAAAACAACAACATCAATAATGCATTATTATTATTATTATTATTATTTCAAATGGAAAATAACTGAAAAGCTCTTTAGTAGTAGTTTATTAAATGTCATCAACTGGACGTCAATCGACGGGAGATAGGCTACTTCATTATACTTTCTCTATTCAACATTTCTACATAAAAGCTGCAGTCAGTTTCAACAGTACAGACAGAGACATAGGCTACATACCTGCGTGAATCCTAAGTATTAAAAGCATTAAACGCAAATTTGAGTCCCTGTTAAAAATTGCAATCTAAATGAAAACATGTAGGCCAAGTTATAAACGTCCACGTAAATCCAATTTGTGTCAAATGTATTACTGTTTATTTATATATTTATTACTTAGGCTACTTTAGTTATTTATTTTGGCCTATCCTATTTATTTATTACTTAAGTCAAAACACACCGATTAAATAGCCTACATTTCTTTTTTAAAAACTCATTGCGTCGCTTTGGCGATCACATCATAAAATAGCCTAATACTGCAAGTAACACCGCTGAACTTTGAGAGTAACACTAATGACGACGGACATTTCTGCAAGACGTAGGCCTATGTTAGGCATCAAGATGATCAATTACGAATGAATATATGAAATCATAAGAATTTGTTTACCCTTAGGCTATACGCAGCTGATATTACCCTTAAATAGGCTACCCCTTGTGTTTTAAGAAATTAAAAATGTCCAACTGTATGATTTTTCTTTTCAAAATATAGGAGTAGGCCTGTTGAAAAACGTAACAAGCCTGACCAAACGCAATATTTCAAGCTTAATTACTATTGGATTGCACGTGCTGGCATATCGACAGATTAGAACAAGAACACTGTAGAAACCGTGTTGTGTTGTTGTAAAGCGTCAGAGAGGTTCCAGTGACCCCTATTCATTCCTGTTAGACAGCTCGTTTGGACAAGTTTAATGGTCTTTGAAGAAAGAGCAGACTAAATGTAAGTTTCTTTAAAAGTTACAAGCCAAACCTTATAAATATGAACATTAAATAACCCCTTACAAATTCGCCTCAGAATGGTGCTTGAGAGTAAACACTATTTCTACGAGGTATCAGCATAAAACCATGACCCCAATAAATTTAATTTTAGAGACAAATCAATCCTCTTCTCCTTTATCGATCCCAGCTAGCTCGCCACACTTGGGCCACGTTTCAACGCCTTTTTTTTTGTTTCACTTCGAAATAGCATTTCGATTAGATCCTTTATTAAGAGCGGATTGCTCCAAAAGGATCAGTGTGGCCAGAAAATTAAATGGTGACAATTTAATTACTGGACATTGATAAAGGCGTCCCGGTAATAGTTGTGTATGAGGGCTGGCACACTGTGTCAACCCAGGTGAACTGAAAAGTGAAGGCTGTGCAGCACACACTGCACAATACAAACGAGAAAAGGCGCAACAGCTGCACTACAGATGAGCGACACTGAAAAGGATGTGTGTTTGTGAATGGCGAAGCAGTCAGTAAATCACACCGGCTTAATTATTTATGATAATTTATAAGATGTATGTTTTAAAAATTTACAAAGGTGTTTATATGTTTCGGCAACATTTCAATAAGCAAAAAATATATTACTGCCAGAGTGTGCTAAATGTATGTATATCGTGAATAGAGTTCGACTTTTCGGTTACCATAACAACATCGCTAATCGTGCAT